AATGATATAAGTACAGCTATAAAACGCTGCATAAGAAGGGCGGGCCTAGAGAATTCGGTGAGCGCAGTTGAAATACCACCGAGTATTCTTAAGCGCCAGCTAGTTCGTAACCGCCTATATGACCGTCTATGTGCAACTCAAAATTGCATAATTTGCCCCAGTGGTAGAGACGGTGATTGCATGAGCTCGGGTATAGTTTATCTGATCTCCTGTGAGACGTGTGGTGACGAATACATTGGCGAAACGGGTAGACCCCTCTGTGTCCGCATGAAAGAACACCTAGCCGGCAAACGTAGACCAAATACCCCGCTAGGCGCGCATAGGACCCAGAGACATAACGGGGAGGACTTTGAAGTATGTGTCACCATCCTCGCACGCGAATCAAGAACACAGGCGCGAAAAACTCTCGAGGCATTCTGGATTAATTCCAGAAATCCGAAAATGACCGCAGGGAAGAATGCCTCATTATCACGCGTGATATAGGGCAGTATACAAGACTGTTATTCTGATGGGAGAGGCACATTACGCTTTCATGTGAATTCTGTGCGGTTGTTCTTTATGCGACATAGTCAGTGGAAGACTCATAGAAAGCGGTGAGTGTGCAAAGCTGTGTTCAACGTGATTAAAATCTTGGTTTAGAGTTTCTCTGTTTGGTTATGAAGGCGTCTGGCCGAGTAGATTGCTATCAACTTGACCTTTCCAGGCTCTGAGGAAGGCGAAATCCGCCGAAACGTCAGCTTATTCGTGATTAAAGAATAATAACACGTCGCGTTTGCTCAACAAAAATACGAAGAATTACTTGATCAATGCCGAGATTAATAGAAAGTCGGTCGTGGGAGTTACAGGCGACGAAGTTCAAGGATGCGTGCATTATCTCAACAAGGTCATTTGGTAAGAAATAAGTGATAACTTCTTTGATCTGATGCTGGTGTTCAATAATAATAAAGGCTAAACGTTGATATTGTGGAGTACTGGTAGTATTAACTTCATTGATAATTATTATAATAGTAGCAATAGGTCGAGGCGAGGGGCTAGAACCTGAGTGCTCAGCGATACTGTGTAATAATACACGCAGGATTATTGGTTCCACAGAGCACCGAACGCAACCAGGCATCCCCAGTAAACGTGCTTATGTGGTGGACATACTCTCCAAGTGACAGCCGAATCAGTTCAAAAATCCGAAGTCCTTCACGGTAAAGCTGATCAACAGGATGAAAGAAGCATTGTAGTCGGCACAGTATGTGAAAACGAATTAGACATAGATAACTAGATAATGGGAATTGATATCTTCGAAATTCTGCTTTTAGGCTTAATAAAATCAACTACCAAACACTTGAACGTTTTTGCTGTCGTATTGCGCTAGATTTTGTCAACAACACGAGGTGTAAGAAAGTGGAGAAAACATTCCCGTGACATCAAACTCGCCTAGCAAAAAAAACATAAGTAAAGTATAAAAAGGACAAACTCTCAGCTTTGACCAATCCCTAAAGAATGTGCCATGCATTCAACTTTATTAAGAATCGTTTGGAGGTGATTGACTGCATTTCTGGCCTTTGTAATAACTCGCGATGACCTACCGATGTATCGAGCCAGTGCTGCTATCCTCCCGGACAGGTGTGGTACCAATTTTCTGACCCTGGAGGGATGGAAGGCTAGGTGGGCCATGGGCTTTGGGTTTGATCCCACGTGGGTGTCACCCAGTTTGTTCAGCCACATAGGTAGAGTAAACAATTAACCATACAACTAGAATCAGTACAGTGTGAGTAGGGATTAGGAGTGTAACTACGGAAGGTAACAATGTTGTGGATGAAAACACTTACGGTTGACTGTAGTCTGGTTATAGAAAATCAGAACTTTTGCTTTGTCTTGACCAAAAATTGGTCCTATACATATTTAGGATTTTGTCGTGAAAATACTCATGAAGAGGAAATTATGACGACGACGTCTGTTTGGCTTCAAATCCACAATCTAGCACATTCAATATAAAGTTGTACATCAGCCAAGTTTAAAACAAAAAGCTTACGCATCGCTGGAATTGTAACATTCATAAAAAGTTTTAGTTTATCTACGAGCTTACACGAGTTCGTTATCAACTGCTTCTAAAACAAAAACAAAACACCCATGAAGATGTGTAACAACCTCATAAGAGCTTGTGAGTAAACCGAAACACTGATGGTCCAAATCGAGGTTCAGTGAAAGTCAGAATTAAACATATGCTTTGTTACATTATATTTATTTATTTACGAATATATGCACAAGTTAAAAAATCAAATTACTACCTCTACTTTATCAGAAGACCAGGACATACTACATCTTGGGTGACAAGACATACGACTTGAATACCAAGAAAAAAGTGAAAAATGAAGATACACGACGAATCATCTACAAAGCGGAACGGACCACGACAAGTGAGATATGATGAAAAGTTTTCACAGGGTTACGATGAGGACCACTTAGGATTGTTGTCCACCACTTGTAGGCACGTATATAAGCGAGAGTTTGCGATCATCACCATCTAGACACACGGTACGTACAAGTGCTGCGATCACATTGTACGGGTCGCAGTTCGATGAGGGTCGCCGATCCTCGAAATAACCCTGAAACGTCAGTAGCAGTTTGCTGAGATCATGGTATTCGTTGTGACATAGCAAGCATAAGCCACTAAACATAGCCGGGTGTAGCGCAGTAGTTAGAGGTATCCTGCAATTGGCATGCTGTCGTTGCTTCGACCCGCGGAGAGATAAACCATGCTGCCATCTCCTCGTGGTTCACGGTTTCGTCCCAGGCTTATTTGCGGGGATAAAGACACTGACTTGAGACATTGGCAAGAGACCAAAAAACATCGTATAGACCAAACATGCATTTAATCACGTCTACAGTGCTAATAGTGGAGTGGAATTCCTAGCGCGCCGCTAAAGAATCGGTCAACGGCAAATGTTTTTTTACGCTTAACGGATACTAAGCAGAGTATAGGGACACTTCCAGAGCTAAATAACTTGTCGAAAATCACCACTATGCCACTATGAGGAATTTTCGAAGACAAAAACGCTAGCATAATGAGGAGTTAAACCAATGAGTGAAATAAACTGCTTCAAAAATTGCTGAAAAGCCCGGCTCGGAAGTTGGTTTCTACATTCTAATAAATAAATGTCAAATCATATTACGTACATAGCCATCGTTGTCAGTTTGGCGTGGAATTCTGATTGAACTGGCTCTTGAAGCGACACCATAAGAGAACTGGTCGATCTTCGCCGTTTCATTACGTCCAGTTAGTCGACGCTCATTGTCCTTAACATTACTTAATTCTCTTAGCCACAACAAAACAAACGAAAACAAATGTGACACCAAAATCGCATGAAGGGAAACAGTAAGTGTAGAAGAAACCTTTCCTAGATGGGGATCGTAGTAAGCGATGTGTTGCTGATGTACTAATGACAACTTATTGATAGCCGTCATGATGTCACTATAATCAAGTTCTAATTGTAATAAAAGGAATTTTATAAAGTTCGTTCAACAAGAGAAACGGCCTAGTCCATTCAACTAAAAGATTGAAGAACTTAAATATTCTAACAAAATTCCATAAAACTCACTTTATTCCACCAGGAACACGCATGGAAGCTGTGGAAAAGTTTGTGTGACAACCTGCTCCGTTCCAGTCTCCTAAAGATTAAAATCTCCAGTCTAGCCATTTTAGTACCCGTTTTTATTTTTTACATCGTTTAGGAGACTCTTTTGTAAAAGAAGTGTAAAAAAGTATTTATATATATATACGTGAAGAAATATAACTCGTTCCAACTAAATTACTTTTCCTTTAATCGCCATGTTCAACTTTGGAACTCCGAACAAAACCTTCTTTCTAAGACGGCTAGCTAATACCAAAGTCCCTCATGAAAAGTAAAACACTGATTTCATCACTGAGTGACTCATTCAAGCTACTGTAGAACCAATGTAGAAGACGTAAAGTCAAATACGTGTTTACTTTAAGAGGAGATTTGCAAGTGGAAGAAGGTTTGGCAAGGAATCTTTAAGAGATTGATCGACCATCGCCAGTTGTCCAAACCTTCTATTCCTTACCTTTTAAACCGAAAATTTTTGACAATTTCATTCTTAAAAATTGCACTTCTTGTATGGAATTTGTAAGGAATATTATAGATGCCAGCAGAGTGCTCGGTTTTTTACTGAAGTCATAAGCAATTGGAAAATGTCTCTGAAATAAATGTCTCAGTGGATGAGATAAGCAGCAAAGGTGTGGAAATCAGAGAATATTTACGAAAAAAAATAACAACGATTTTTTAAATGCTACTAATATTTCACTTTACATTTCACTTATTTATTATTATTTACTCGTACTTATTTTTCAAAATATTTACTGGGTTTATAAAAAATTAGTGCAACAAGCACAACAATGCTGAGATATTTGCAAAACTCCGGACCACAGGTGTCTGCGCTGGTAAACGAACGCGCTTTTGTCTTTTTCGGGGAGTAACGCATTCACCACCACACCATGCGGGCTCTTCGTTTCATTGCCGACTTCGATTTCCTAGATCAAACCCGCCGAATGGTGACTGCTGATAACAGTGATCGATAGAACTAGCTGATGGACAGCTGAAACGAAGCATCCGCATCGTGTAGTGGTGAACGCGTTATCCCCCGGAAAAGATAATAGCACGTTCGTTCACCACCGCAGGCAGACACCTGTGGTCCGGAAGTTTGCAAATATCACAGCATCATAGAAGTTATAACATGATAGCTGAGAAGTATTCATGAGTATTCACTTGGTATCGTCTTGCCACGGTCGACATCTGTTGCGCATTGGCGATGGCGACCTGTACGGCTTCACCATGTTTTGTTGGCTTTTGTGTACTGCTTCCAGTGCAAATAGACCACAAATCTCGAGAAGTATGGGACAGGCATTCTTCGTTCGACGACTGCATGATGCAAAGCCCTCTGGAGGAACACCTTGAAAGGTGTGAAATGAAGTATATTTGTACCGGTCTTCCCACATTGTTGTTGCGCACGCAAAGAAATAAGGCCTCAGTGAACTTTTGTAACGGACGGAGAAGGATGGTTGACCTACCTTGCCAACAAGTACGGCGTTCTTAGAAAGCCAAGGAACCGTAACATTCTTCCATGCTACCAGTAGGACTATGAGCTATGGAACGTCCTTGGCTAATTTGAGTATGCCCACTTCGCGACTTCGCGACAGTGTTCCTCAACAGTCGAGATTCTCGGCAAGAAGACGGTTCTACATTTTGCATAGGACTTATTCCCTATGTTGCCGGATTTCCACCTTTTCTCATATATGAAAATTTCCTCCTCCCGATGAAGGTGAAATAAAGATGAAAATGTCGGATTGATTTCCAACTAACAACTGCGTATTTAATAAAGTGGATAAAAGTATAGAACGTTCGGCGCTTCCTTGAAAATACATCATTCACTCTGCTGGATCTTAGACAACGACTGAATACGTACTTATCCCAGTGTTTTGCGGAGGCCCACCGATATAAAATTCGGAGTTCCTGTCCTCTTATACAAGGCATAATTTGCCGATGCATGAGATCAAACTCAATTTGACTACGTTTGCATGGCAGGGCACTTCTTGGCACTGGGCTACGCGGACACCTTGGTATTTCATAATATATCTTAATTAATTTAGTGAGCTGAGAAATAGTTTCTGAACTAAATTTGTTATTCATTGAGATTGGACAGCACGATATTTGAAATTAACTCTTTCACTTCTATTTTTAATGATCTGCTCGAAACTTTCTAATCCCAGCTTTCAAGGGCTAATAAAATTTGCCCGAAGCATACTCTGAAAACGTTTCCTTAACTGACCACCTAACGAAGTCACTTTTCACCTTTAATTGGTTTAGGATCAAGTGAAGCAACTACGCCAAATTCTTCGGCGACTCGATGTAGGAGGAAACGAGCCATCCACAGCTGGTCACCCATCGCGATGCCCTCAACTGGGCCCACTTGGAATTCCCACTGAAAATTCGCTGCCGTTATCATTGAAATCGTTCTTATTGCTGAGATAGTTCTAGAATAAATAAATGAACGATTAAAACTTTGGGACTAATCTCTGTCATGGGAAACAGTCTCACTGACAATTTTAATCGAAACCATACACTTTAAGTAGTCAATTTAAAGGCTTCGAGGGATAATGTGATATTAATAAAGGTATCATTTGCAGCATCTGCAATACCGCCAAAGGTTAACTCTACTGCGTACCGGTGAGGTCTCCATTTATTCCCAAAATGAGGGTAAGAGATGTCCACTAGGTAGGTACAATGAGGTGGGCTTTATATCTGCCGTTTCTCAAGACAAAATACTCGCAAATAGCTCTCGTGAAAACTAGTTATATTCTATGGTAGCTTGTTTGACTGCGATGAGGTGAACATGAGGCTGTTTGTTGGAAGTGAACACGAACCTCCTCCCATGTGGTTCTAACAATTGGATTGTAATCCTTTGAGCTAATATAAGCGTTCTGCAGGAACATCCGTGAATTCAATTGGAAGAGATACTAGGAGATCCTTCCCAAACCAGTGTCAAGCAGACAGCCACCCTCATTTCTTCCACTTTCAGCCTCCTGTTAGCCATGTGGAGACGGGCTACGTAGGTCTTTCACATAAGAGAGCTCCATTGCTCTACCCCATACAGAATTAAAATAACAAAGCTAACATATTCTGTGCAAGGACCAATTCTGTTTGGCTGCTTGGGAACACGTGTAATATTTCGCCGCACACGATGTGGATTGAAAAACTCGTCTTAAGAAGAGCTTTTACAAATTACTTAAGCGTAGAGAAAGTGTTCGCTGATCACTTTTTGGACAACATTTGTGCGATGTGAGCTATTGATCAAATATGAAAGCTATGATAAATAAACTCTTTGCGATAGAGAAAACAATCGGAACGAGTGATAATTGAAAACAGTACAAACAGCACACTCGATGCACTGATACCAATGCATATAGGTTGAACCATATTTCGTTTCAGGACTAAAAGTATGGCTGGTCACCTGGCCAGGCATAACTTCAGCATTTGTACCAGAGATGTTGATGCCAGCATATAAACAGGCGCGATAATGTGCTTCGACTATGTCACGACCGTAGACTTTATTCGCTCCAATACCACAGTAGTACGGTCCTGAAGAGAACCATGACAGAACAAAGTAACAGTGTTATTTGGTTTTCAAGCAAAAATCTCAAAATTCCAAAATCCTCTCGTTTTCGGAAAATATTTAATCTTTTCATAACAGAATTAAATTAAAAGAAAGATCACAGTGAAACCTATAGTGTCACAAGAGACTCTAGCGAAATATTTTGCAGCGAGCACAAAGCTTTTGTTGCATTTCGAGAATGGTCGAATTTGGATAGTGTAATGATGGCGCAAATTCGTCCAAAGCCGATGTGGAGTACCTACAATAAAGTACTACAGTACAACTTACCCTGAGGTCCGGGAAATCCATTCTTCGGCCAACCGAACGGATGCCCGTCCACATCGAGTAGAGTATACTCCTGTTCCATGCCGAACCATGGGTGTTGGTCTTTAGCTTTTTCCATCACTTCGGCACATCGCTTCCGATTATTTGTTGCTGAAATAGAAAGTGGCTGGAAATCTGATAGCGAGATAAGCCCCATAACAGGAATTTCTTTAAGAACAAAAATTGGAGACTAGAAAAGGCTTCGGTATGAGGCCCCAAAAACAAACTATCGGCGTTCTTCTACATGCATCAAATTCTCTCATTTGGACGGCTACATCGTTTAATCTCTTCTTTGCTGTTTACTTGATACAATTTGAATTTCGCAATATTTCGATGAAAAACAAGAAAAGAGAAGGCGGAAAAATCACAATGGTTCCTTCACTTACCGCACAACTGGTCCACGATCCGGTCAACTTTGACTTTGTCAAAATCGAATGCGTTCACTTCGCGTGTGCTGTGAGACTAGACGAAGCTGGACCTCTCCATCGGAGTGCTCACCAAAAGGGTTCGGAATTACAGATCGTGGTGAAATTTCTCAACTCATGCGTCGCTGTAGTCGAAGCGCTTCATGCTGAACCGCATTGTCCATTTAGTAGTAGCATGTACCCAAAGCGCAGTGCTGATCTTCTTGGTTAGAGCTGATGTCGTCATACGCACCAAGTGTTAGTTGAACACGATGGCTTACATTTTTTCATTATTCATTGAGTCAATGATGCTTTCCCTCCTGGTCGGTACCCTTGCTCCGTCCTGGCATACAAGTACTGATGTTTAGTGTTTCAGAATGCACTATAGCAAGATATAAGACTACTGAACGTAGAAAAAGCGAAAATCGAGAAAAAAAATCGTCAAAGAGAACAAAATTGATGCTGAGGTATCTGCAAAACGAACCCTAGGTCAGATTCGAACCCTCAATTGCCCTTTCAGGAAGCGCATCTGTTACCCACTGCACCACTGAGGTCTTTGTTTTGTTCTTCTCTAAGGCAGTGTCTTTTATCCTAACAGTGCCGTCAGCAATCACCCATCAACGAAACTGATTTGTGGGGCACAAATCGCCATTGAACGCAGTTTGACTGCGCCATAGTCAAAATCACAATGAATCATCAAAGACTTATAACTATAGCCCAAAAGCTTCTCTTGCTATCGTCTTAGTTATTAGACGAAATTTAGGCTCTTATCTGCGGTTTACAGTTCTTCTATCTTGACACATTGTAAACAACTCTGGGCATCGTTCGATAACCTTCTATGTGATTCGTCGTTGACGTAGACAGATCGTTATCAAAGAAAAACATCACAAGATATTGGAACCAAACAATAAACTCTATCGAAACCTAACCTTGAAGTTAAACAGAACGTTACGACAATTTTTTTGCATCCTACAGAACGAATTGGAGGCAGTGCACATCGGCGGGTGAATTGTCTACTCAAAGCGCACAATATGCCAGAAGTTGTAACGGGACTCATGTGTTTGTACTTTCTACAAGAGATACATCATAGCGCCATCTTCACCAACAACAATACATGTGGTACTCGAATAAACTTGTCCGAAAACAGTTTTTCGGCATTTTAATTTGTAAAAAAGAAGTTATTGTAAGACAATATTCGTTGATATACAACTGTTGTGAGAAAGTTATCGATTGAAAACGAAAATTGGCGAAGAAGCTCTGCTCGGTATACAACGGAAAATGAACTGCAGTCAATGCATAGCGTGCAGCTTGCCCAATCCTCATGCAAATTGTGTTATCAATGCATATCTCCGCAGCTTATCTCTTAAGGACTGAACGCCCAATTATATACAAGATATGAATGCAAATGATAAGTTGTTTTATCCGAAAGTTCGCTTACAACTGGAAACACCATGGCGTATTCATGATTGATTATGGACACTGATCAGTTAGGCGTGATGCCTTTTCAGTGCCACACAGATTCATCCTGTATTTTCACACTAAACAAAATTCAGATCACCAGAGTGATACCTTACTCAGAAATTTCCGCTGTTTGCAAAAAAAGAACCACCGTTATCCAGGTTACCCATGGATGTTACCATTGTTGCAGCAGATTGCCACTACGGACGACGGTCGCGCAAGAATGAGTGAAAAATATGTTGAAGCCTGGACTACTCGTGTAGAAGGGCCATTCAAATGCTTACATTCTAACAATATTTCGCAGTTGTTCTTCCCAACGAATGACTTCGAGCTCTCAAACAATTACCACTTCCCAATGGAAAGAGAAAGAAGACTTGTTCTAAACGCTTGAATTGCGACCGCGCTTTTAATCCATGAAATCTCAAGTTGTTAACGAACGACTAGAGCAATAAGAACATTCAAAGCAGGAAGTATAAGCCGATTAACGTTTATCCTGACTTTTTTCCTTGACAGTAGCTCGACAAACACGTTCTCTCTTTAAAACATCAATAAACAAAAATTTCCCAACGAACGGATTAAGATTTCTTAGGGTTATCGACGTTAAACTAAAGCTGATTGCCGTCTGTAACGCTGTTTGCAATATTTTCTTTCGACAACAAACAAAACATGTTCGAGTTTTCCTATGCTGAACATTTTTGTTCAACAAGGCTTGCTGATTTTATTTTACTCGATATCTTGGCACAAAACGTAAATCTCTTAACCTCCTAACTTCCTATTCAGATCCAATGAATGTATTGAGAGTCATGGTGTGACCATGTTTAGTGAACAGCTTACAGAGCTGTCAACACAAAAAAATCGATAACTTGGAACGATCGTGTAGATTTTATATGGCAAAAAATCTACTGATCTGTAGTAACGGGTTCTGCTGTAAAAGTCTTAACCCTTAAGAGGTTTTGAATCCTCCCAATCCTGACGATTATCAGGGTCGTTCTTCTCTTCCAATGCTGGACCATTAAAAAAACTTATTTCATTCTTATCACTTGAAATTTTTATTGCTGCTAAAAGGCTATGGCATTTCTATGTGATCGCTGATAAGGTTCAGCTCAATTTATGGCGCACTAAGCATACGAACATTTAAAATCTTTCCCAGAACCCAACACTCCACATTTCTTACGTTACACTAGTAATAAGTTACGAGAGAGAGCTCTAATAAGTTACGCCTATGAGAAAATGTTGTCGAACAATCAACACTAACTAATACAGACATAAAATTCCTGAATGTTACTAAAACTAACTAAAGCATAGTTATTACTAGAAACCACTGGTGAACGGTGTTTGTTCCCCAAAGAATTCCGATGGATTGCAAATGATAAGGGAATATTGATTGATGGAAAAAGCTTCGAAAGTGGACTTCGACTAGTAACAAAGACCACCACGGTCATGATGTCCAGTTAACATCATAGTAATCGTCCGGACATATTTTAGCGCGCGGTCTAGCGTCCCGACCCGACATCACTTGTCACTTGTCACTTTTGGTTTCACTAGTTATCGAGTAACTCAACTCGGCACGACTAGACGCCATTTGTCTGCTACCTCCTGCTAAAGCCGTTCATTGGTCTCTGCTCATTCATTGGACACCAGGAATGTCGCGTTTTTACCGTGATGCACTTTCTCATTGCTTTTAGTGACATAGGTTATTCGGATGGTTCTGCTAGGTTTACTTATGGTTGCCCATCTGAATTGAAAATGTCGAACTCCTTCTCAGCTTAGAAGACCTAGTGGATGTTGTGACTTGTTGTTTGAACAGCAAAGAACACGTCTAGCAAAGACTAGGCAGAAAATCATTGAAATGAGGATGAGAGAAGAGATGAGAATACCAAAAGTCGGCCTAGGAGAAATAAGCAGTGGAAAAAGTTTAATGAACTATTATGAAAGTGACTACAACTATTGTGAATCACTTGAATCAGAGAGATTGACATTAATAACGGAGTAATTAGAACGATGCTCCACTGAGATCCGTTCATCGCCCTCACTTATCAGAGCCACTTAGTGGATTCCGCTTGCTCAACAAACATGAAGAGCACCAAATTTTTAGTGATTACGGACTTTTATGAACTTCCAACAAAAATTTTGGACTCTTTCTCAGCGAAAGTGACAAAGTGGGACAGATGAGCCAACGCCTCACATCACGCTCCCATATCAAGGTTCACCGACTAGGCGCAGTAAGATTTGACGAGGTGAACTGACGACATTGTGACACATAAACATAAATTAAATTACATATAACTACAATAATGTTGAGCTATTTGCAAAACTCCAGACCGCAGGTGTCTGCGGTGGGGAGCGAACGCGCTATTTTCCGTTATTGTCCTTTCCGGGGAGTAACACGTTCACCACCACACCATGCGGGTCCTTCGTTTCGCCTGTTTCTCACCTAGTTCTATCGATCTTTTGACATTAGCAATCACCCATCAACGGGATTGATCTGGGGAGCCCAAATCGGCATCCTCCCCGGAAAGGACAATAACGCGTTCGTTCTCCACCGCGGACATCTGCGGTCCGGAGTTTTGCAAATATCTCAGCATTATGTACGAGTTATATTTCGCAAAATACCCTGCTGCTACGAAGAATAGGCAGTAAACCAAAAGGTTAAGATTTAAACTACATATTTTTATCACTCAACCAATTCGCACACTTTCACCAACCTGTAGGCTGTTTTTTACCATCGAGAGTTTCGCAGAGTACAAGTTTATTCGCGCCGAGACGGAACGGATCCGGATATATTGCCACCGGTTTCAAATACACTTCCGAATCGGTACCAACGGCTTGACCAGTAGAGGAACCGTCAAAATTCCAAATCGGTAGTTCTGAAATTGAAAATCGATCTATGTAGTTCTTTTCACACTTCTACCTTCCTTACAATAAACATCTACGCAAAAAAAGCCAAAAAGATCGATCCATAGCCGTATCGCCACAAACAGAACACATTAGTTAACCGGAAAACTCTTCATACAAAACCATTTAGATTCCTTATTCCAAATGACTTGCCATCGATTTCTTCCACAGTTAATAACTGGCAGTGTTGGCTAGAAAACCTTGCCTTGAACTTGATTACTGACCGAGAAGCCCACGGACCGACATAAAAAGATAAAGGATAAAGCTTGCGGTGTTGATCAATCCCTAAGGGATACACTATGCAATCGACTCTATTCCTGACAACACAGAGATGATTCAGTGCACATCTGGCCTATACAGTAACTTCCGATAGCTTTGCTGCAATCGTTTCAGACAAGTGTGGCACTAAATGTTGTCGACCTCGAATAGGTGGAATGGTTAGTGAGCTCAGGTTACGAGATCGAATCAATGACCAAGTGTGTATAGTAACGAACCCCTTGTCGCTATGCCATATGCGGCCCTTAGATTGATATAGTACGAAATGTCCAAGGTTTTCTGTCATCTTCATCACTCGATTTTCATGATAAATATTAAATTAGAAAATTAAATACCAAACAGGAATAATTGAAGTCCAGGGAAATTATTTCGTCTTCGAATCCTGGACGGGAAACTGGGATATCGACCTGAACCTCTGATCGGAATGTGTTCATTGAATTGTACAGTATACAGTGGTTGGTGCAGACGAATGGAATGTATGGCATTGTTTTTGTTGTGTTGTGTAGCAATATGACATGTGATATTCACCTATGGACACAAACCTGTTTACTTTTGTAAACCCACTTTCCTTCGACGCCGGTATAAATAAACAAAATATTGTTTAATCACTTTTTATTTTATTCTAGACCACCTGCTCCTACTTACGTTGTGTGGATCCTAGCACTTCTTATGCCCGATTCGTTTCCTAGCACCCAGTATCCACGAAGGTCATCGAACATTTTTGCATATGGGTCCACCGCTCCTTGAGGATTTTCTCTTTCACACGAATATCGTTGATTTCTGGTCAAGTTAATTCTAGAGTCTTGAGATAATCGGGCTAGAGCGTTCCTACTAAGACTGCAGAGAGTACACCTTTCCCTGATTAGTCTGGTACCAATTTATCGAACCCTTTTTTTTCTGTTGGGCTTCTCGACAAAGTGTTACATATGGCGTTCACGTGCGAATGCTGAGCTCTTTGGTTAAGAAATCTGTCTGTTGCTCTTTCGAATAAAACTCATATTGACGTGGTCTTATCCCTTATCGCCGTCCTTTCATTTTAATGGAATACAGTAATCTAGCACGTGAGTAACATTTGGGATGCACATGAAATTCGAAGTACGCATGTACTTTGACCCCTTCACTTTTTTCATATTAAACCGCAAAAGAAAAGAGAAACTGGGCTCATACCAATTTGGATCGATATTGTTGATAAGAAAATGAAAATAAAAACGTCATCTAGAGTTCTTTTTTCTCCTGAATTGGTAAAAGTGTACTCGATTTTAAAGAAATGAAATCAGAATTTAAGAAAAAAGATAAATCTCTCGGCGTTGATCAACACACACTACGGGACATTAGGGACACACTACATATTCGACTTCATCAAGCGTCGTTTGGAAGTGATTGAATGCATTCGAAGTGGCCTACCGATGTGTCAAACCAGTGCTGCTATCCTTCCAGACAAGTCCGGTACCAATTTGCCGAACCTAGAGGGATGGAAGGCTTGGTGGGCCATGGGCGCGAGGATCGATTCCACATGTGTGTTGCAGGGCACCTTTGACCACTGCGCCACACGCGAGATCAAAATACATAAAATAATCGCAATTGGCATTATGGACAACGATGATGCAGTATATATTCCTAAATATTGCTGATTTCTCTACAAATATAATGGGAAATCGTTTTACTAAATAACCACAGGCCCTATAGCGATAATGGACTGCGCAAATTAGAACCAGAAAACCACTGATCAAAACTCACGTTCTGGTTTGGTGGGTTCAAAGTCGAGTGTACGAGTTTTTGAGCGCAGATTTTCACCGGTACCATCAATCCAGATGTATTTCGCTTGAACTTTACCCTTTTGATCGAGACGAAAAAAACGATCCACAACGGTTTTATCGGTGGCGAATTGCATTCGAAGGTTAGCCATAGCTGAAAATACGGCGGTAGACCGAAATTTGAGCTTATATGCAGAAAAATCCGGCTAGTATCGAATTTTATTCAGCAAGCAAATCATGCAAGTAAAGACGGATCGATAGAAAAACTTAACCGTGTAGTTCTCAATGCTCGTAATGGAGTGAATTTAAAGTATTTTCCACTGAAGCGCTATTTTGCAAAATAAATATTTTGCTCAGTTATAACATAAATCTCGGAAATTTCCTAGTTAACCCATTTATATGGTAGACAGGCGAAACGAAGGATCCGCATGATGTGGTGGTGAACGCGTTAGCTCCCGGAAAGTGTAATAACGTGTTCGTTCTCCACCGCAGACACCTTCGGTTCGGAGTTTTACAAATATCTCAGCACCGTTGTGGCTGTATTTATACAATAATTATAATTTATTTAAGCATATGAGGTCATCAGTGATGTGGAAGCGGATAAACAAAGTGTAGGGAAAAAACTCGTTAGTAGAAGTATTAATAAGCTATATTGTAACAGATATTTTTAACAGGAACCTAGTCAATCGCTGTTTTCAAGCGTTTCCTTCTTTATATTTTGAAAAATCGTTAGCTTCATCGGCGAAATAGGCGCTAACAGAAAACTAGTAGATTCTGGATAAAGTCCGATAAAGCCGGATTTTCAAACGTATAAGAACTACCGTAGTGAATTTATCTACTACAGAAGTCTAAATACTTATGATGTAACGACTCATTAGCTAAAAGGATCGAAGAAAAGGAAATTCGAGAACGGATTCCGGAAATGAAAACAACAAACCGTGCATGGTGGTTTTTTGTTTGATCGAAGATGAACTGTGTCGAAGTTTTTGAGTGTGAGAGAAAAGGCGTGCCAATAGTTATCGACGAAAAGTCTCAGTGTGTGTGTGTGGTGAGTGTGTGTGTGTGCCTGTGCTGTGCAGTGCAATGACGATGAAAGAGCACGATGTACTTTTTGATCGTCCAGTCCTGATAACAGACAACAAACCAGTCAGTCAGTCGGTCGGTCGGTCAACGAACAACACAAGTCACTTGACTGCGTAGATTTTTCTGGACAGAGAGTAAAAGCAACAACAACAAGCACTGACACCGCAACGACTCACCAACAGTGAACAGATTCCATTAACTATTCGACAACAGCGACCGAGAGTTGTACTGAGATAAGAGAAGGAGAGAGAAAGAAAGAGAGGGAGATAGCGTGGGACAAGAAGCGAAACGGCAAGAGAGCCGCGGTGCCAGTCGCAGATCAAATGCGGTCGTTTACCAATGTTTCGCAATAGAGCGAGCTTTCCGCCAAACAGAGAGTTGAGTGAGGGCTTATTGAGCTTTCTAATAGATTTTACGCTTCCAGACTTTCGCTACAAGATGTATTTCTTTCCAAAGTGTCTTTTTTCATATTCATGCTTTTATCTCTTTCCTTTTTTTAAAGAATGTCCAAAATCAAAATATTCCAAAAATTCCAAACAGTACACCAATTTTTTAGAATTGTAATCGCTAGGACACAGCGGCACACATCAAGAATGCATTTTAGAGCACTAATGCGCTCCAACTGACGGAAACCAATTCATGTTATTTTTCAGTTTATGCTAATTTATCTTGAAAGTACAAGCCACTAGAATGCAATAGATTTCGCCGGCTTCAGGTGCTATTTGGTTGAACAAGAGGTTTTGTTCCCGCTTAGAAGGATTTGTAGATAGCCCTTTAATTTTAGCCCGTTTCTTTAGTAGTACACTGTGAATTGAGAAATTTCCGCTTTTGTTTAGATTCGAAACGCTAAATAAGTTTCTTCGGAGTATGAGTCAAGTATGACTCCTTTTGCCTACATTTTATTAAAGAGGCTTTCAAAAAATTACTTTAGAATCATAAAAAATTGAAGCGCTTTGGTTAACGACGATATCAAACAAAAGGGTTAATATGGCTTATATATGTATATATATGTACATAACGATAGAGAGAGGCGGAAAGGCATGGGGAGAGCGGGAGAGAGAGAAGGAGACGAAGAAGATAACTGTGATGAAGAAGAAGAGACGAAATAAGACAGAAGAGAAGAAGAAGAACCACATGTCTTTCTATCTGAAAAAAAGGAAAGAAAGAAAAATCTAAGAAAATGACGCTAAAAACGGGAAGCAGTTTACAATCAACGTAGATTGGATGATAGATAAGTGAATGCTTTGTCTTTAACATATAAGCACTGAGATTAAAAAGCAGTGAAAAATAGAGATATAATAGAGAGAATAGGGATAAATAGAGAGAACGATTTCATCTTTGAATTCAATCGTTCTTCCTCCAAACCAGTTCTGTTCGGTTGCATTTACAACTTTCAGTTGGACAAAAGGTTCTGGTGTTTACACTTTCGTTTAGTTTTTCGCTTGTTTTCTGGGGAGTACGCTCTTTTCGGCAAACAATAGCGATTTAAAGGATGAAACTAGAGGTGGGGTGCTGGACAGAAAGCTATATGATTTTATTTTTAATCAATAAATAAAAAGTATGCGTAAATAATCAACCATCTCGCGAGAACGACCACTCGTGGATTATCGACGCGGGTCAACCCGGCTCTGAAGAAGACAAAGACGTCGAAACGTTAGCCGAATAAACTTCTTTATCAACCTTGTATTAGCTTAATAATATAATCGTTTATATATTTATGAGTTAAAAGCTTGAGTTGGACGACGTTCGGCATTTTAGCTTGTTCTCTCTCTAAATCTTCCATTGCCTTTCTTATTAGATAGACTAATAATAGAAAGTAACAACGAGCCAGATTATATATCCAAGGTTGTCTTAACTACAAATCCATTTCTTCATCCTTCGGGAACCGTTTCGCGTATGTTCAAATTGTCATTGTCAATAAATAATAGAGGAAACGAAATAAAAACAAAAAATTCATCCAAGACGTCCGAAGTGAATCGGTTCCTGAGGAAGAAAATACTAATGCTGACCTTCGTTATGACTAATATTTCGGCTGTTTTGCTCCCATCAGAGCTGCGATGATTCGAATCGAGCGCCCTCAGCAGTTGTTTCTTCTTCTGTGGTCGGTCTTCATCGTCGTCCCATCGAGGAGAGTAGCGTGGACTGGAACACTGCACGAATAAGGTAGCGCCACACATCACTGCCCTTGTATACAGTGCTCTACCGCGTTGAAGCGACTCGGCCTCACAGACCAGATCTATAGGATGGAGGACGGCCCTTGGGCAAAAGCCAACCGAAATCATCTCATTTTTGGCAAAAATCGCTCTTGCAGAATTCGAGACAGTATTAGTTGGCATATAGTAGAACATACATGTCGAAACCCCACTGAACCTTGGTAGAGAAAATTAATGTCTTGCTTAATTAACAGGCTTACGCGAGGTTGTTGTAAACTTTTGCCACGGAAATCGGCACCAACATTATCCCTGTGAGGATTTAAGCTTTAGTTTGCAAAACTCCGGACCGCAGGTGTCTGCGGTGGGGAACGAACGCGCTATTGTCCTTTCCGGGGAGTAACGCGCTCATCACCAAACCATGCAGGTCCTTCGTTTCGCTTACCTCTCAGCGCTAGTTCTATCGATCTTTTGCAATCAGCAATCACCCGTCAACGGTCAACGGAGTTTTACAAATATCTCTCTGCTATAATAGTTATATTTCGCAAAATACCTTGCCATTAAAAAGAATAGGCAGTAAATAAAAAGGTTAAGATTGTGATTATAACTATAGCCTTAGCTTAGCTGGGTTCATTGCCGATTTGGGCTCCCCAGATCAATCTCGTTGACGGGTGGCTGATGGCAAAAAATCGATAGAACTAGCTGAGAGACAGGCGAAACGAATGATTCACATGGTGTGGTGATGAGCGTGTTCGTTCCCCAGCGTAGACACCTGCAGCCCCCCCCCCCCCCCCCCCCCCCNAACCCCCCCCCCCCCCCCCCCCCCCCGAGTTTTGTAAATATCTCAGCATTGTAATAGTTATATTTCGCAAAATACCCTGCCGTCCACGGATCTTCCTTATATGAGGGGTCTCGAGCCGATTAGTTGCCAGGCTACGTGATAGGGGTTAATCGCGGACCAAAAGCGACCTTTGCTTCCATGAGACGCAAGTGGATCCAGGGGATAGACTTCCTGTTTCTACTGCGCAGATTTGGCACATACTTTCTGTACTTACCAGGCGTATTCATGCATGCATGTGTGGATGCGTTCTAGCTTATGCGGATTGTATTCTATGAGTCGATTCGACCAAAAGCCTGCAATCAAGTGAGTGGGAAGCATATAGGAAGCGGTTAGGAGTTGCCTGTAACAAATAAGATCCATGTCCACTCTGAGAGAGCTTGGCAAGCTACCCGTGAGTGTACCCAGCCCACACGTTCAGAGCCCAGGAAGCTATACGTGGGCATCGAAAATTCTAAACACAGCAAAAAACGGGCCTCATTCTCATGATCCCGAAGGAGCCTCCATTTTTGCACCGTTGGGTAGGGCGAGCACGGAGAGTCTGCTAAAATCTCAGGGCCAATGGAAGCTACCTGGATTTCAAAGAACTATGGTGAGGATCTGTACCTACAATGCACGTATACTTGCATCCGAGTCCTCGATAGAAGTCTTGCTCATGCAAGCAAGAAGGATAAAGTACGATGTCATCGGCCTGGCCGAGACGAGAAGACGCCAGCCCTTCAACGCTATCTATGACACCGGAAAAGAACTGTTCCTCGGAACATGCAACAATAGAGGAGTCGGCAGCGTCGGAGTTCTCGTCAACACGAGTTTGTCCATGAACACGGATTCACAACTTATGTGGATCAATTCCGGCTTCGACAATCCTCGTCGTTTACGCGCCGAAATCAAACTATGACGAAGAAGATGTCGAAGTGTTCTATATGGCCCTGAAGAAGTTTTACGGAGAAGACCATGCATTCTTCTATGTCATCATTGGAGCTTTCAATGCCAAGATTGGGTCAAGAAAAACGTCTGAAGAGCGTCACCTTGGGACCCACGGATTAGAATGCAACGAACAGGGTGAGCGGCTGTCTGAGCTTATCATGGCAACCAAGACAATCCATGGTAACTCGCAATTCCAGAAACCCCGCCCTCAGTGCTAGACGTGGGAGTCTCCCAATGGAGAGTTCCATAACGAAATAGACCACATCGTAGTGAATAGAAGGTTACAGACCAGACAGAAGTTACAGCGTTCCGAAAGGTAATGGAGAAAAACATTCACGAATACTATTCGGATCTCTTCGATAGCAACGTCCACTTTCCGTCATATGAAATAAAGCAGGATCGATATGTTGTACCACCGGTTCTCCCTTCCGAAATCCGACATGCCATTTCGTCGGAGAAAAAACGAACAGCACCAAGTCCTGACAGGATAATACCAGAACACCTGAAGAACATTCCGCCAGTCCTCGTAAACACACTGGCTCGGTTTTTCACACGTTACCTGTCTGAATGCAAGGTCCGTACTCAGTGCAAGACCAGCAAGACCGTGTCATTGTTCAAGAAGGGTGACCTACGCGATATCGGCAACTATCGCCTAATCTGCTTACTGTCTGTCTCTGTCGTCTACAAACTTTTCACTCGAGTAATCCTAGACAGGATTGACAGAACACTAGACAAATGACAGCCATGTGAGCAGGCAGGGTTTCGAAAAGGATTTAGTACGATGGACCACATCCACACGGTAACACGGCTCAATGAAGTATCGCGAGAGGGCAAAAGACCGCTCTGTCTCACTTTCATCGATTTACAGAAGGCCTTTGATTCAGATGAGATGGAAGCAGTCTGGGAAGCCCTTGATAGTGAAGGAGTCTCTACTCAGTACATAAAGATTCTTCGTGAGTTGAAAAAAAATTTCACAACCAAGGTATCACCAATCTACAACGATATTAACATTGACGTCAAAAAAGGGGCAAGGCGATACCAACTCCCCAAAATTATTTACCTCCACCCTCCTGAACGTCATGATAACATTCGAATGGGAAAATATGGGAGTGAAAATCGATGGTCGGCAGTTACGCCATCTTCGTTTTGCTGATGATGTCGTCCTTATAACGCCAAATAGTAGTCAAGCGGAACGTGTGCTTGACGACTTTGATAAAGCCTGTGAAAAGATTGGTCTTCGACTAAATCTCACAAAAACGATGTTCATGAACAACGGATTGGTTTCGCATGCCCCATTCACGCTCAACCGAACGAATATCTCTGAATGCTCCAGTTATATCTATCTAGGTCGGGAAATCAATATGATGAACGACCTAGCTCCAGAGCTGGCAAAAGAAAACGATCGGCTTGGGGAGCTTTCAAGAGCATCGAGGATGTAGTGAAGAGAAGAGAGAACACCCGACTCCTTGTCCACCTCTTCGACTCAATGGTGCTTCCTGCCCTAATGTGTGCGTCAGAAACCTGGTGGCTGCGTGAGCAGGATGAAATCTCATTCAGCATTATCGAAGGCACAGTCGATAGGACGATGCTAGAAGTATCCCGTTCCACACAAGTAAGGCATGAGATCCGAAGCTCCGATCTGTGTCAACGATCAAAAATCAAAGATGGCGTTCTGTTCGCCAAACAGTCGAAGATAAGAAGAGCGGGACACGTAGTGGATATGAATGAAAACAGATGGATAAGAGCCGTTAGTGACGTGACTGGATTCCTCGGGGTGTCAAACGTACTGCAGGAAGACCACCGACCCGATGGTCAGAGTTCTTCACAAAGAGCCTTGAAGAAAGATATGATGCTCGACGAGTCCCTTGAGCGAGCAGAACTCATTGGGCTACTCTTTCATGCGACAGGGAAAAATGGAGGATTTACTGGAGCCCGCTCGAGTCACTCGACGATCAACGGTACTGCAGGTGATGCAGGTGATACCCTGCCTTTGAAAAAGTAGGCAGTAAGTAAAGAGGTTAAGATTAAGCTTTATTATTTAGTGCCAGTCTATTGTTCGACATAAGTGAATAAATAAACTAGCTAATCTAAAACATCAATTCTGTATGAGTATGGCTTTTCATATGCAAGGACTACTGAGGATTTCCGGGTGGACGGTACCAATTAGGAGTGAAGAGTGACTGTGAGAAATTAGGCGCATACTTCTCAATAAACGTGATACGATAACAATTGGTCCAGCTATGATCGCAGTCAGAAAGCAATCTGTTGCTGATCACGCAGAAAATCAAAAGAAACAGACAAATGATATACCCTAGCGACAACCGATGGAAAAGAGCCGTTAGCGATCGGATCCGACTGGAAGTGAAGCGCACACTTTGAAGACCAAAGACACGATAGGCAGAATTTTCACAAAAATCCTCAGAATACAGTATGACTCTCAGCGAGCGCCAGTAAAAGCCAATGGCTACTCGTGTCCACCTCAGGTCAGAGAAAAACAAAGGTTTTACTGGAATCCACTCTAATCGTTCGACAATCAAAAGTACAGTTAATATAGGTGACATACGTAATGATAGAAGGATGAGGTGGTCCAATTCCTGCGTACAATATTATTGCCAAGTAGTTAGCTACCCGAAATCGTTGTGACATCGTGTCAAACTAACAGAATGGACGAAACGAAGAAAGAGGAAGCACTGTTTCACCTTAGTATACTATAAGATTAACCTGTTGGTTCTGAATTCCACAACAAGCTCCATAGAGAGAAATTTGGAAAAAAAAACCCTTGTCATAGATAATCTGAGGACCACCTCACATCTACCAACGATTAGGATAGTAGGTGGCGACAAACTGGAAGCACTTAAACTGTATGCTCTTGACCATAGTGCACGTGCGCCGTTTAGTTGAGCAGTCTTAATGGAATACAACAATTTTTCGTCGGCAGCGAACTTCCTAGTTTTTTGACAATAAAAATAATTTTCTAATAATTAAAGTGATTTATTTACCTCCCAACGGTTTCCCATCTTATCGTGACTGGGGGGTGTTTCTGGGTGTCGGACTGCGATGTACAGCGGGGTGATTCATCTCCCGAGTAGAGTCTCCCAAGCTGAGGAGTCCCGCGTTTCCATCAGAAATCCCAGCTAAGAGTAAACCAATACGACGATCTACCACCGTCCTGGAATCAAAGTCGCATGGTGGAAATCTCCCTCTGATCCACAAGGGCGAGCATTGCCTGTGGTGGTGAAGACCTGGTGCAGACTTTGGCCAGGCTGACCTCAGAATTCCAGGGAACCATAATGGATTAACCAGCAAATCTCCAATAAATAGAGATTATGCCGGGGCACGCACAGCCATTGAGGACGGCATTCAAGTAAGTATCAAGTGAGTAAAGTGATCTAGTGATTATGAACACTAAAGATTGTGGGAAAGAGTTTGATCTTGTCGGGTTGTAGGGTTCCGTGAATATGAATGGCATATATTATACTATTAACTACGTGTTACTGTGGTCTACATTGTAATACATTGGCACTCGGAAGTATTTTGTAGTTCGTGTTTAGCCTATTCTGGTATTTCCATGGCCCACAAATTCTATACAAAAGTCACCAGTGATAATAAACTGCGTTTCAAATTTCCGGTCAAAGCACTTTCTTGAGAAAATTTTTTTACAAATCATTAAGTGTAAAAAACCGCCTTTTTGGTCTTATTCCTTCTATCTTGTTCTGAGTTTAATTCGCTATGAAATGAATGTGCATACTGCGGTGAAAGTGTCTGAAACGCGATAACCTGAACATTGACACTCTGGTGCCAATACAGGGTTTCACAGGCTAAAGACATCTTATATTTAAATCTTTTTTGAGGCTTTATTTCTTAAAATGCCTTCGCTTTTAGTGCATTGCGTTTTCTACTTTAGTGACTACTCACTCGTGTTGCCCAATTTTCAGGAGCTGATCAAGAAAGGATTCGAAGGTATTTTTACTTGCAAACGTTCAGTCAGCTAAGTTATTACTTTTATTTATATTTAAATATTACATAACTGGTTTTATCTTTATTTTCCCTTTTGGTGGTCTTTGACTAGCGTAAATTATGTAAGGGAAGAGTTTAACCATGTCAGGGCATAATTGAATCAACTCGTTACGGTTTTCACTGGTTGGACCACAGTGCAGACGCATATTACACAAACACAAGAACGTGAAAAACCTGGTAGTGAATGAATTCTCAAAAAAGATTGAATGAGGTTACTCAGATCAAATTTTTACTATATTTTCTTTACGAAAACTCAGATTTTTACTATACTTCTTTGCGAAAACTGTGAGAAGGTATTCTTGATAGATAAAATATCATTAAAGTTTTAAATGATCGCCTACTTGAGGTTTCTACCTAAACCAGAAAGTGGATAGACGAGTTTTCCTTATTCGTAAAGCAGTCAGAACCATGAAAGACGAAAAGATTGCGTCCATAGGGAGTGCAGGTCCATTAGTTCACGCGTTCACTACCACACCATGCGGGTCCTTCGTTTCGCCTGTCTCTCAGTTAGTTCTATCGATCTCTCTTATCAAGAATCACCCATCAGCGAGATTGATCTGGGGAGCCCAAAACAGCATTGAACCCAGTTAAGTTTCCGGAAAGGACAATAGCGAGTTTGTTCCCCACCGCAGACACCTGGCGGTCCGAAGTTTTGCAAATATCTCAGCATTATAGAAGTTATATTTCGCAACATGCCCTGCCATTAAAAAGAATAAGCAGTAAATATAAAGGTTAAAAAGTGATGCATTTTGTCAGAAGTAGGGACCTTGAATAAGTAATTTTAAGTATTACATAGAAGTAGCTCATTAACAAATCTGTCTTGTCTGAGGGCTTCAAGTTAGTCAGTCACGAAGATAAGTGACGAGGCCACAGGTGGTTGCTATGGAATTAGAAGCGAGACGATAGTGAGCTTGCAATTTCAATGAGATGCAGATGGATGCGGTGGCTGGACTCTTTGCTCTCTCTTCAGCTTGATTGAGTTCTAGTTCCGTACGTGCACTTCAATCATGTTCATACATAAGTGCATAGAAGTGATGCTTGAGTGGATGCGAATCGAACCCTGGTCGCATTAGCTCAGGTGAAAGCGCTGCAATCAGATGAGTGAAAAGTATACGACAAGATGTTCAGGATCGAGTCTAAAGAGAAAACACCTCGTTTCTAGTCGGGAGAGAACTCAGGACATAGTCAATTTTTCAAATTCAGAGCTATTTAAACTGTTCCTGAGTAACTTGAAACAAAAAGTATTATGGAATAAGGATGATGGATAGTCTTTGTGACATTCAAGAGACCTATGTCAACGACATGGCGCAGATGACCAACAGCACAGACAAGTGAATATTTCGCGGATCCCGATTCAGCTTGACTTGATCGATCTTTAACGGGATAATAGACATGAGAAAAATAATATAGTCGATAGAGATGATTTATATTCACAAAGTTACTATTGTTACTATGATATGCTCTGAATAGGAGGTTAACAACTTAGCAAGCAGAGAAAGAAAAACGAACCAAAAATCTCAGTTTTCCTCAGCTTTTCCTACTGACTAATATTACATATAACTTATTTAGGTTGTAAAATAAATATCTGATATTTTTAAAAGCTGACGACTGAGACATAAAGGGGTCGCGTGGCGCAGTGGTCAGAGGCGCCCTGTAACACACACGTGGAATCGATCGCAGCGCCCATGGCCCACCAAGCCTACCAATCTTCCGAGGTCGGAAAATTGGTACCAGACTTGTCTGGGAGAATAGCAGAACTGGGCCGTATATCGGTAGGCCACTGCAGGTTGTAAATTTTTATTGTAATTGTAAAGGCCAGATATGCATTCAATCACCTCCAAACGATGTTTAATGAAGTCGAGTGCTTGGCGCATCCCTTAGGGATTGATCAGCGATGAGAGCTTTATCCTTTTTTTGACAACAAATGGGTAGAAATGAGCGGACGAAATTTTTATGAGGACAACGGTACTTAGAAATGGATAGGAAAAAGTATTGTTTTTGTTTTGCTGAAATCGCATATGAAATTGATTTTACATAAATAAGACGAAGTTTTTTATTGCTTAGCTTGCACCTTCACTTCCTTCTAACCAATAATTACACAAAGCCTAATGGCTTAATGAAAAAGGAAATGTGTTATGCTTTTGGTCTATTCTTCTAGGTGAGTCCGTCTTCTCAATCACTACTCATCGGGATTTCGGTGGTGGTAAATGTGTTCTGTTCGACTTGCGCTCTCAACGTTGCAACCAGCTGCCGAAGTTCTTCGATCGCTTTAGCCTGCAAAATAAAATCGCAGTGATTTCGTTTGACGTTTAGAGACAGACAGGTCGGTGATATTTACATTGTTGTTGCCGACCAACCGGTCTCATCGGCCGCTGTGTCGTTTTTTGTGTGTGTGTGTGTGTGTGTATGTGTGTGGTCCGGTTACCGACCACCGCTGTCGCTACTATTATCAGTTTTTTCGTTGATAATTGAACAACTCGAATGGTTTTCAGTACAGTCTTTATTTGTATATGGCCAGCATCAGTCTTCCAAATAGTCTCCGCCCAGCTGGGAGGCAGCAAAACATCTCTGTTTGGGCATAGAACCTTAATTTTTGTTATTTCTGAGGCTATCAACTGAGATCTCGCAGCCCCTACTTGAGGAATCGATGGATTTTTGGCCTGCATTCTCACTCGGTTATGACTAACTTCCAGGGATATTGCGTTTTTTAAGCAAAAAATTCTTCTAAAAAAGGCGATACAAAAACCCTTCTAGGAAGCTACGAAGTCGGAATAATAGAAATTGAGGTGTCAAAATATGTGATGACTACAGTGATGCTGAGCTATTTGCAAAACTTGGATCCAATACGAGATCGAACCGCGATTGCCTTTTCAGTGGACTCCCCTATTACGCATGGCACCACTGATCCCTTCGCTGTGCCTTTCTCTCGGCTATTATTTTTACCTTAACGGTGCCATCAGCAATCGCTGTTTTTTTTTCAGCGCAAACGATTTGTGTTCCCTAGTTCATTGTCGTTGACGGGTGATTGCTAACGGTACTGTTAAGGTAAAAAGACTGGCTGAGAGAAAGACCGAACGGGGGCATCAGTGGTGCTATGCGTAGCACGTGAGCCTCGGAATGGGTGGTCGCCGTTCGATCTGGCCTGGTGTTCTATTTTTAAATACACCAGCATCACTGTGGTTGTATTTCACATAGTTGCCTTGCGCAAAAAAACTATTGGGCAGCAGTTAAAAGTTATACTATATAACGACTTTCTGAAAAACGAGGTATATCTCCAAATTCGGTTTAAATGTACCGTTAATACAACCTTTGAAATAACTGGGGTACAAAGCAGAAATCATGAAACTTTAGTCGTCAATCAGTCATTTAGAGATGAACCACGAAGTGGAATCCATTCGTAGCATCGTGAAGGCTACGGAATGCATACCTAGCCCATGCATATGTCCGTGATTTTTATCTTCTTATACAAGTTTAGTTGCAAAATTGCTGAGCCTGGAGAGAGTGGGAATGACTTGGGGGGTAGATGCGGTTAAGGATCGAACAAATGACTATTTGCGTTTCAGGACGCTTCTAAACACAAAGCGTACTCATTGATGAAAAAACGTAATTAAAAATTGGCTTTGTCTACAAAACTGTAGATAGAAGTTTTTAAAAAGTACAAAAGAAGTGTGGGTTGTGGCCAGAGATCATAACAAAGAATGGAAAGATTACACTGAAAATCTGAACAGGAACCGAGTTCGCGAGAATCCGACCAGAAACGTCGAGATGAATAATTTTTTGTTGAACACAGAGACCGCACTGGTTGATCGCAGGGCAACGAACAAGCCCGAAGGAATTACTGTTCAAAAGAAGCAAACAGGTTGCACCAATCGCGAGCACCCAGAGAAGCTATCGATCTTGGCTTATGGGTCCAAGACTCAGCACTCACTATTTTCACTACCGAACTCGAACCTTCAAGAGTTACCTCATCTTGAAGATGCAAAGGTGGGAACATTCAAAATAAAATATTTTATCAATGTACCATCTACAGAAACAATCTTTGCCATATAAATGGTATGATACTCACTGACGTCAGTGTACTTGAAACTGAGCACCACCCTAAACAATTAGTTCAAAGAAACAGTTCAAATGAAAAACCTGAAGTAGGTGAGCAACCCATTATCCAACAGTATTGTACACATAGGATAGCGCATTTTTGCATTGACAAGCTGTCAATAATTTGGTAGAAAACTTTATTCTGCTAACGTTCCAGCGCCTTCACTTTCTTCAACGCGGAATTCATCATATTCCGTTGTCCACAGTTTATCCTTTTTCCGACGTGGATCCTCTTTATCGCATCCAGTCGAATCCACTGTATCATCGTCGATCGAAGTAATCTCACTCGACAGTACTGTTTTACACAGGATGGTTGCTGATGCCGATTGCTCACTAGTAATGATTTGTTTTTTTCCAGACAGTCCATGGCCCATTTTTAGCCGAATGAAACTTGTTATCAACATTATCTTAATTTATCTATGGAAAATAGACGTTGATTAGCCTCGGCGAGGCGAAAGGAATGTCGGTTTTTGAAATATAGAGTTTTATAAGCTACTAAACAGATCGACCAGTCGACAACTCACAGCCAGTGGACTACAACACAGAATTAGGAAGATGTAGAGCAAAAGGAACTTAAGAAAAAATAAATCCAAAACGCCCTAAATGGACAGGGTTAGATTCTGTTCTAGTCTATGCCCAAATAAACTCCGTTGGACCAACTGAAACGTTTCTCAGTGGCAACAATATGGTCGAGGTGTTAACAAACAAGCGCCAAATGACACATTCCTAGTAAGGTTCATTGATATTGCTCCTATATTAAAGCATGTAATAAAGTGGAACATTTTATTAATTATATAATAAATTCACTCATACCTGCATAATGATATGATTCTTAGCGAGTAGCAATGTAGCGATTTTGCTGAGTTTTCTCACCGAACCACCACGAGCATATGGCAGCACTGCACGAAGATCATCTAAAGCTTCGTTCAGATCGTGCATTCGATCTCGTTCCCTCATATTTATGGAGAGACGAATGCCAGCTTCTGGTGATGACATCTGCAAGATTACGGTAGTGTTTAAGTTAATAGTCACATATTCCCAGAATTTGTCGAAAGAAGTCGATTTTTATCAAAAATTTGGATTTCTGAAGATGTTCAGTGATTCTCCCTCAATTGTATTCACTGCCTCATGGTAGTTAGCGCTTCTAAAAACGACGATATCAACAATTCTACAATTCTGGCCTTCTACTCGTACGAGGGTAAAACAACATGAGGAATCGTCACAACCTATACGCATGGTAACAAATTTCTATTCGATCACACAGGTTGGCGTCACCTTTTAGTGACGATTGGGGTACCGAAGTTCAGGTTTCTTACAGACCCATAGGAAGAAAATCATGGAAAAAAACAAAGTGCTAGAAAAATGGAAACTGTGTAAGGGCCTGTATGATTTTCGGTGAAGGCAAGCTAGTAAACTTTTCAAATTTTCAACTTCGCCGCTTTTCTTCAGACCTTCGTCTGTGATTTGAGCGCCCCTCATCTCCGATATTTTTCAATCTTCTGGTCTAAATTATATTCCAGTGTTCTAAAAATATAGCTCCTCTTTTCATTTCTAACTGTTTTTCTATACTTTTCTCTCGAATTTTTTTGTTTGAAACGATAGAAAAAAGTGATTTTTATCGTGATCTTTAATTATCTTCTCAAAAAATGGCAAACCAACACGAGAAAAAATTCATTCGCGAAGCAAAAAATGAGTGAAATCTCCTAGCCCATTTATTTTATATTAATCGAAATCGCAGAATATGTGAATGCTCTATTTCTTTTCATTTCTTCATGTCCATATGGAAGTGTTCGGATTTGTGCACGGGTTCAACTGTATTTGAGCGCCACGTTCTCTTCATGACTTCGTTGGATTTTAGTCCAATCACTTCTCCCAGGAACTAGGTCCTCTGATCTACTAAAGCTTTTCCAAGTCTTTACTAAAGGGAATCGTCGACCTATTTGAGTTGCTGAGAGCTTTTCCGAGACATATGTTACACACATGTACACACATCCTAACCGCATGGAGTTGGAGGGAGGGTGGGGGCAATTCCGTTTATTTGCCTCGGCTCAGGGTGGAAGCATCCCACATGGGTATATCGCAAGGTGCTTCCAAACACTGCTCTAATCGTGACCTAGCGATCTCAAATACTTTGAGACTTGATGCTTGAGTGGCCTTTACTGTTTGGTTTTGCAAGCCCCGGCATAATCTCTATTTTTCGGAGATTTGCTCATTAAGCTATTGTAGTTCCCTGGCATCTCGAGGTCAGCCAGACCAATGTCTTTCTTAGGTCTTCACCACCACGGGCACTTGCAGCCCTTGCAGATCAAAGATTTACCACCATGCAACATTGATACCAGGACGGTAGTGGATCCTGGTATTGATTTACTCTTAGCTAGGCTTCCTGATAGAAACGCCGGACTCCTTCTCAGCTTAAGAGATTTTGCCGGAGGGACGAATCCCACCCTGTACATCGCAGTCCGACACACAGGAACACCCAGCCACGCTGACGGGTTAAACCATTGGGAGGGATCTCAAATAAATTATAAGAAACTGTATGAAATCGTAAAAAAACGCTAAAAGAAAGCGTTAGGGAAAGAAATGGATAGACCTTTAGGTAATAACATTCGTACTCATCCAACTTAATAGATGCTGGATGAAATTATGGTAATAGGAGTCGAGTCGATGAGGCGCTGAGTCTAGAGTGCTAATGAATAATGCCAAGAAGTTCGTATATATAATTTGAATAAAAGGGTCAAAGTGAAGAAATCTCGCTGAAGAAAAAAGAAGAAGTTGAAAAAAGATCGATAAAGCTAGTATTCTTTTTTCGAAAGAATATATTTTAATTGACTAAAGTACTAGGAAAAATATAGAAGTTAATTTAGCGGCTTTTTCAACCATTCTCCTTCATTAATGAATTTTTCAAACATTATTAGCAGATCTCTCGACTTTAGAATACTAAATATTAAAATATGTACAAGTGTTGAGTTCGTTCGAAATTGATAAATAAATTTTATTCGGTTAACGCTTCGCCGTCTTCGTCTTCTTCAGAGCGAACTGTCGTGCTCGTGAACCTCATGTAAGCTCAACACTTAATACACATGTTGATTAGTCACGCCGAGGTTAAGCGATAGTCGGTTTTTGGAATAAGCAACAAAAAATTTTTAAAGCAGAGGACAATAGATACAGATATGTTAAACTGTAGAAAAAACATTAAGGGAAAGAGTTAAGAATGAAGATACAAAAGGAAAGGCGCTTAGCCTTGAAGATAGTGAAAGTGTTTCGGAAAAGGGAGAATGATTCCTAACAAAATGGTCTTTAGAGGAAATCACGCTTAACGGCTGACCATCCAAACCAAATGCCCTGGGTGTCAATGGCAACAGATTGTTGTTGTTATTGTTGTTGCTGCGATTGCTGAAACATGCGACAGATGGGCTAAGATTAGCCAATGATAACCGGAAATGCGGAGGTCTTTTAGCCAGCCATCCAGAAATATGGTAGGAAAAACCGTAAAATGTCTTTCGAAACAAGTGTGCCAATGAGTATCACAATGGATGATAGGCGAATTTAAAGTACTACCGCACTCTTCTAATCTCTTAACTTTACCACTTTTTCAAGCAGCTTCTTTATAGAAATGCTTATTGCCTTGTGTTGGTAAGAGGTTGACCTTGACGCTGAAATGGTAGCAAATGAGAGTATCACATGCCAAGAAACAGCCTTGTTAAAACATGTGGGTAAATGCGGTTCACATTTGGATGGTTTCTTTCTGGTATAATCAAGTTGTGCACAAATGTGTTCCTTGTTTAAGGAAACCTGTGCAAATTGGTAGCAAAGCTATATGGCATATCCATAGGTGAATGCACAATTGGTTATTCGCGGACCAAAAGCCAACTGGTGCTTTTCTATGATACAGGTATGATCAGGCGGTGATCTTCTTGCCTTTGCTATTTTATAGTGACTCCAGCATTTCAGATGTGGTTCTTTGGAATAGGTCCGGTATACATGTTTGGTCAGAATTTTTTAATCAAATGAATAAAAGGCAGCACGATATATAGGGAACGGCTTAAGGCTGCCTCTAATAAATAAACATCACGTATTATGTGAGAGAACCCGATAAGCTGGCTCCGACTAAGACTGTTTTCTTCAGTCAAGTTGGAAAAGCAGTTATGGTTACACTAACATAACAAAAGGGTATTGCTGCTCTGGTAATTCTTAACAAACATGAGGAAGAGGGCAGTTTTGGAGTGCTGGTCAGTGAATTCACTTAGTGGTAGAAAGGATTAAATACGCACATTGTAGCACTGCGCTTTATTTTTTGTGGGCTATCGTCCTTTTCAGTAAACAATCCAGTACCTACCAAAATGCGTCTATGAAGGTTATTAATAAAAAGCCAGCAAGATAAATTCGACCAGTTTGATGAGCATAAATCTTTTAAAATAACTTTTCATTTCTTCTAAGAGTTGACAAGAAGCGGAGAGTTCCCATGACATGATAAGAGCAGAAACTTTTAGAGCTTTTTCCAGTTAAACAGACGCGCATTTATGCTCAGCACTAAGAATATTTGTTCGGCGAGAGATCTATTGAGGTTTTTCAGCAAATTTCTGATAACTAAGACAACGATGCTCAGAAACAACTAGCGTATTGCACCCTCACTGGTGTCAAATAGTGTGCAGTTGCAGAATAACGTGTAGTAGGCATTTTACGTCACAGTAACCGTATAACAAAAGAGTTTAAAGCCAACTTTTTATTTAGTATCTATTACAACTTTTCACTTGCAAAACTCCGGAACCGAGCTGTCTACGGTGAGGAACGAACGCGCTTTTATTACCTTTCCGGCGACTAATGCACTCACCACCGCATCATGCAGGTCCTTCATTTCGCCTTTCTCTCAGATAATTTATCGATCAGCGCCATCAACACCCGTCTACGAAATTGATCTGTGAAGGCCTCATTTGGAGACTAGCACTGATCGATAGAAACTAGCTAAGAGACAGGCGAAAGGAAGGACCCACATCGTGCGGTGATGAACGCGTTAGCTCCGGAGAAGAGTTTAATTCATTCTACTCGTTGGTTATTAGAAAACTGGCCTTGAACTGGTTTAGAGTAAATTTTTACAAATATCACTCAAAATCACAGAAAGTTATATAAATTTTATTCGGCTGAAACTATCCCGGGATTTCTAGGGAATTCCAAGATTGGCAAATACCTATAACTCTACAGAAACCTGCTCTACAGAAACCTTTTGTAAAAGGAGAAAAATCTTCTCGCTTAAATGAACTAGACCCATGAAGCTATATTTAACGAGCTCGTGTAAACTTAACCATCCGACAAGGTATTGATTTTTACCATTAAGGTTAAATGACATGTCGTTTGAAAATTCCAGAAAGAGTACTGGGAATAGGTGAAATTACCTTTACTATGTCTATTTCTTACAACGAAAAATAAGGATCACAACGAGAATGATGTAGAAAAGATGAATGTGTAGCGAAATGAATATGATATATGGTCAAAGTAGTTTAGCAGAGCGCAAATCCACGACACGGTCTCGGAGGAGCTACCGTATACCAGGGATGGCAAAAAGATGAATGGCGGACGAGCTGATTGGAGATGACATTTGAATAACAATGACAAGCACATCGACGGATCCGAACCACCGACGTCGCCCACGAATTCCTTTCTCCATTCTGCAGTTGAGTTCACACATCCCAACTATTCTTTGCTATTATCACAATCATCGTATCGTTACTATTTTCCTTTCTTGTAAAGGATATTAGAAAGTCGTACTACTATTTTAGTCCCTTTGCGTTTTATTTTTCTATTTTCTCTCTTTGTTTTTGTTCTGTTTTTCTTTAAACCCCTGAATATTCTCTGTTTCTTTCACTTTCATCCCAACGTTTTGTTGTGTCTCTCCGTATATTTCATATTTTTTGTAATGATTTTAAAGAAGAAAATTCTGTGAGTTGCAACGATACTTTGCTCTCGTTCTTATAGGGTTTTTAACACAGAAACAAAGAAAC